CGGTGGTGGAAACAACAACATCGACGACGACGATCAACACCACCACCACCACCACCACCACCACCACCACCACCACCATGCACCGCCTCCACCATGCACCGCCACCACCACAGCAAGCGCCACCTGCTACTGCCACCGCGGCCGCCAGCACCATCACCAGAACCACCACCACCACCATCACCACCAGCAACCGTGTGGTTTTGAAGGATGGCTCTTGTTGTTGCTTGGTGTTGCTGTGGTTGTGGTGGTGGTAGCAATGCTGCTGGTGGTAGCTTTGCTGGTGGTGTGGTGAAAGCGAACCTAGCGAACATTCTACTCAATTCATCTCTATCCTGGATCCCGTCACCATCTTCAACAGACCACTGCCGATAGCAGCCATAGCAACCGGTCATATCGTCTTTGGAAAAGTCCGAACTCATCAAGACCGGACAAATGCGCGCTGGCACCTCGATTCCTCTGAGATTACCACAGGCACACGGACGGTGTAGCCGGTGATTTTGTGCGCCGCACCTTCGCAAAGACCCAGCTGTATTCAGTAGAAGCCTTAATAATCGGCATAGGGGTCTTGGGGTATCTTAGATATAGTAAGGAACCCTAAGGAATCATACTGGAGTCATATGGGAAGTCATTTAGGAGGCTAAGGTTCGCAACACCGCTTCTGTAGTGAAAAGCCTCGCAGGAGCAGCAAAAGCCTCTGAGTGGCTGGAGCATAAAAGAAAGAGTTGCATGATGACAGGAACCCAAACCCAGATTCGACGCAAATGACTGGTCGAATCAACTGGGATGCAGACCGCTTTCGAACCTCAGTTGGATACAACACTGACGCAGCAGATCTCCGGTTCCTAAACCCTCCGATCCCCACATCGATTTAGGGCATGAGTTGAGGCTTGAGATTCTCGCTAATCTCTGCTGAGCGTCTTTTCTCTGATGTCCTGGCAACAGGCACAGGCAGGGGACGCAAAAACGTCTGACCATCTCAAAGCCACATTCGCCAGCATGACATTGCATGAGTCTGGCAGGCATGTATGATGCATTGATGAATTTCATCCAACATGCATACAGCCGGAAATCCCCTCACACCTGAACAACCTAACGCAAGCACAGTACGGGCAGACAAGGTTCCAGATAGACTGCCCCCCTAAACCCTAAATCCCTAAACCTAAACCCCTAAACCCCCTAAACCCCTAAGCCCTAATCCATGGTTTCCCCCAAGCCTCGAAAGCTACGTCCACCAGGTGCTTCTCGTGTGGCCCAATCGCCAAGTTGGCGTCTCCTAGGATTTTCATTTGATGGTATGGAAGTTTCCGAAAATTAGGGGCACCTTGTTCTGGGGTCCTTATAATAAGGATCCTACTATTTAGGGTACTATATAGGGTCCCTATTTTTGGAAACTCCCATGTAACCCTGTATTACCCATAATAAGGAATACACCATTATTCGGAAACTACTCCCGTAGGTTACGGTGCTTAAGGTCGTAGTGCACTTTAGGACTTTAGTTTTGGGGTTAAGTTTAGGCTTCAGGGTGTAGGCTGTTGGGGTTTTAAGCTCCGGGGTCTCCAAACACGGAAAGGAAGGACCCTAAGTTTAGTCTCATGGCGGATGCTAGTCAGCCCTTGTAAGTAAGCTGTAAGATGCGGGTTGCTGCCAAAAGCAGTAGTCTCAGCAGTAGTAGTCTCAGCAGTAGTATTAGGAGTAGTAGTAGCCGTAGTAGTCGTCGTAGTGCTAGTAGTGGTAGTCGTAGTAGTAGTAGTAGTAGTAGTAGTAGTAGTAGCAGTAGTAGTAGCAGTAGAAGCAGTAGAAGCAGTAGCAGCACCAGAAGCCGCCGCAGTGGAGGTGGCACAGCAACGGCAGGCAGAGGCACTCGGAGCAGTAGGAGTGGCAGCGGTACTGGTAGCGGGAGTCGTCGGAGAAACGTAGTACCGAAGTGGGAGCCCCCGCAGCGAAGGAAACACTGCTGCGATGATATTCATGTTCAAGTGCCCTCAGATATCGACTTCATCGCCATCATGCTCCACAGAAAGACCTTTCCGGATAAGGAAACACAAGAGCATGAAACCCAAGGATGCAGCCTAAACCCTAAACCCTGACCCTTAGACCCCTAAACCCTAAACCCCTAAACCCTAAAGCCTAAAACCCTAAGCCCCTAAGCCCCCTAAACCCTAAACCCTAAACCCCTAAACCCCAAAGCCTAAACCCTAAAACCCTAAGATGAAGCAAGAGACGGCCTTCCTCCGAGATGCGCCTGGCCTCCGGAAGTTTAAGGTTTTAAGGTTCGGATTCGAGTTCAGGGTTCAGGGTTTAAGTAAGGTTTAGGGACATCTTAGGGTTTTAGGGTTTAGGGTTTGGGCTTAGGAAACCCCCAAAAACCTAAGCTGAAAAAAAGCCTAAACCGCTAAACTTTCGCCGGGAACGCACACCTTCCAGACAATCTGAGAACCTGCGACAAGAGCTGCAAACCCTAGCTCGCCGCATTAGACCTCTGGGCTCCGAACACCACCACGACTCCCATCGCCACCACCACCACCACCACCACCACCACCACCACCGCAACCACCGCCAAGACTACGTTTGTTCGTCAGAAGCCTGGAATTAAGATGTGGCTCGTGCAGAAACTAGCACCGCCTCTACAACAACGAGTGCAAACACTGTTGCTTTTAAAACCAAACTCAGCCTGCCACAAGTTGACACATGTCGGTTGCCTGCTTGATTATCGCTGCGCTTCTTTCCTTGGTGATATTTTCACAAACATCAGTATTACTGGTACCGGCACTGGTAGTGGGACCACTGATGTTAGGAATAGTGCCTCTATTCAAACTACAAGTGCTTGTACACGCTGCTTTTGGCTACTACTGGTGTTGCTTCTTCTGAGAATCCATGTATTATGCTGATTGTGAGCGCTCTCATGACAGGACAATGAATGTCGGTATCAGTGTTATCGTGCTTGTCCTACGGACGAATCATACTTCTTGCCGCTGTCTTAGCGCTCCTCACGGACTCAGGTGCCTCTGCGGCCCACTCGCCCGACACACGCCGGGCTTCGGCCGAGCCATGGACAAGAACCTCCAGCTGATCCATGACCTTCGTAGTCTCATTGACTGGCTATAAAGATCATCATCTGAAACAGCAAGACTCAAATCACCATGAACAGCATTCCAACTCCCGGCAACCTAGCAGAAGCGCTTGAATTCCAACTCCCGGTAACCGAGCAGTAGCGCTTTGCAGTCGTGCTAGTAGCAGCATCAGAAGCAACAGCAAGTAGTAGTCGTCCTCGTCGTCATCCTAGTTGTAGACGAGTAGTCGTAGTAGTAGTAGTAGTAGTAGTAGTAGTAGTAGTTGTTGTAGTAGTAGTAGTCGTCGTCGTCGTAGTAATTAGTCGTAGTAGTAGTAGTAGTAGTAGTAGTAGTAGTAGCAGTAGTAGTAGTAGTAGTAGTTGTTGTTGTTGTAGTTGTAGTCGTAGTTGTAGTGGCGGTAGTGGCAGGAGCAGCAGCAGCAGTAGCAGCAGTAGTAGTAGTAGTAGTAGCAGCTTCTACTAGTAGCAGAGCAGCAGCAGCAGCAGCAGCACCAGCAGTAGGAGTAGTAGTAGTAGTAGTAGTAGTAGAAGTAGTAGTAGTAGTAGTAGTAGTAGTAGTAGTAGTAGTAGTAGTAGTAGTAGTAGTAGTAGTAGTAGTAGTAGCTGTTGTTGCTGTAGCAGTAGAAATAGTCGTAGCAGCAGCAGCAGCAGCAGTAGGAGTAGCAGTAGCAGTAGCAGTAGCAGTAGCAGTAGCAGTAGCAGTAGCAGTAGTAGTAGTAGTAGTAGTAGTAGTAGTAGTAGTAGTAGTAGTAGTAGCTGTTGTTGTTGTAGCAGTAGAAATAATCGTAGCAGCAGCAGCAGCAGTAGGAGTAGCAGTAGTAGTAGTAGTAGTAGTAGTAGTAGTAGTAGCTGTTGTTGTTGTAGCAGTAGCAATAGTCGTAGCAGCAGCAGCAGCAGCAGTACTAGCTGTAGCAGTAGGGGTAGCCGTGGAGGAGGAGGCGGAGGAGTTCGGGTTCACTGGTGGCAGCGCTGGTGCAAGGCTGGTTGGCACCGCACACTTGTGTATTCCTGGCATGGCTCCAAAGCAAAGCGTCTGCACCTGCTACCTGCAAACAGGGAATGTCGGCAAAGCAGCTAGAAGTCGCAGCAATGTAGTGATCATCCAAGAAAACACAGGTCTCTCTCACTTGCTTTCGAGGCGCTAGAACAGCTCAGACCACGATGCCACACAGACCGGCGACAGAGTGCGAGGGGTTCTGACGGCGCTGCATCCATCACTGGACGGGTGAGGACCTCTCTGTGAGTGAGAGACAAAGATAGCCTGAGGGCTGAGAAAGCAGACACTTGGCTTCTCCTTCGCTTCATAAGGATACAAACCCTGAACTCTAAACCCCAAACCCTAATGATACATGAACTCACGAAAACCTAAACTGAACCATGACATACTATAGTATAAAATAAAATACGATGATATAAGAGAAGACCTAAGCTACACACCTGAAAACTATGCTGGGCATGCCCGTCTTGGGCCGCCTCAGGCTTGGCTGAGCCGAGAATGAGCCGAAAAGTTCAGAAAAGCATTGATATGACATTCTAGAATATCATCTAGTATACCCTAATAGACTCTGACATGCTATAATATATTCTAGCATGCTCTGATATACTTTGCTAAAATAAGATGATAATGATAGCAAACACACAGCTCAAGCTGAAGCCTTGGGGATGCGATGCGGTCCAGTTAGGCCAGTTCCTGTGTACACCAAGCGATCTCACTTAACCGATTGAAGCTGATGCTCCTGGCCATCAGCACCATCACTACTGTTTCAATCTTCGTTCGACGACTCTTCCTGCAGTTCTGCTGCTGCCGCCGCCACTACCACTGCCACCACCAACACCGACAGCAACAACTACAACAGGAACCACGAAAACCAAACCTAAACCCTAAACCACCCCCTTAACCTTTCATATTCAACCCTTTCTCTCGACCGGCCTGATCCGCCAGCCTCCTCTTCGCATTATCCGCGCTCTTAGCCGGAACCTCCGGCAAAGAACAGCTGAGTCTGAAAGCCTTCGGGATGAGTTCACCATCATATAATATGCGATACCATAATATACTAGAGTGTTCTATAACATACTGTACTTTACCATAATATGCTAAAATACACTAGAGTGCTCTGTAATATACTGTAAAGTAAAATTACCATAATATACTATTATATACTCGGGATTTGGATTTAGAGCTGTTGTGGTCTCAGCCGGTTTAGCGTTCGGGCTGCAGGGCTCTGAGGGTTTAGCTGCGCTGCAGAGTTTAGGATTTGCAGATTCGGGGCAGGTCATCTTTTGACTGGGGGGTTAAACCCTCGGAACCGAAAATCGCAAAACTTGTTGAAACAGAAGTTGGCAAAATGATGACAGTAACGAGGAAGTGTCTTCATTCTGATAAACGCGCTCCAACAACTGTACAAAAAATGTGAAAACTGCGAGCCAGATCCGGATGGGCGCACCAAGTGGCCCCCCGGAGCCAGCGCGACAAGTGCGCTGGGCGGTGCCACCTGTCAACTGGCAGAGTTGGAGCATTGAAGTCTTAACCCTGACATCTAAATCCTAAGCCCTATTAGGACATGACCATCGTACCCAACAGGGTCTCTGGCAACATTGGTGCAAAACCAGTTCGGGGCTTGCGAGAGCCGAGCCTACAGCTCTTCGAGGGCTATGTGGATCAGACAGTCATGCCCCTATGATATCCGAATGGCAGAGGCCACCCGGCGCTAAAGGCAATACAGCTCTCAACTCCATTGGTTCATGGGCCCAGGAACCCTAACCCTCCTGAAGCCCTACACCGGAAGCCGACGAACCCCTGCATGCACCTGGCCTGTGTGTTGCTTTCCGAATCAGTTAAGAGCAGCTCCCGGACAAATCCGAAGCAGGTCAGAAACAGGCAATAATGCACAAGATTAAGTGATGGCATAGTATAATCTAGTTTAGTATAGCATAGTACAGTTTAGGGTATTTAATACAAACACTGTGTAACAGTGTATAGTTGTGGGAATTGCTCCACTAGTAGAGGCTCCTAAAGGTCCGACCACAAACAGGATCTGCACCACTAACGTGGGTTGCAGGACCTCCGTTTTGGGGTTTGGTTCCAGGTAAACCCAAAAACCGCAAAACCCCTAAATCCCAAAAAAAACCCAAAACCCTAAACCCCAAAACCTCCCAAAAAAATGCAAAACCCCCTGAATTGGCTCAGAAGGGATCAGACGGCGCGCATCAAAGACCGAGGCCAGGGCCTGGCTGCCGCCTCAGTTCAGGGTTTGTTTTTAAATGCAGTGGGCCTTTTCTCCTGCAGACCCTGCCTATGGACAGGCTTGCACAGTTGGACAGTCACTAGCGGTTTTGGGTTCAGGGTTTAGGGTTTTGGGTTTTGGGTTTAGGGTCATATCCGTTATCTAGAAGAGTATACACATATATATATATATATATATATATGTGTGTGTGTGTAGACATAGGCATACAGGTATAAAGGTAGATAGGTGTGTAGATATATAAACACCTAGACATCCAGGTATATAGATGTGAAGACAATAAGATCTGTAGATACATAGACACTTAGATATATACCTATATCCATGTTTACGTCTGTATCTGTATCTACCTCAGGGGTTTCGGGATGCAAGGTTTGTTGATATTACAAGGTTTCAGAGTATAATCGGGTCTTGGCGGCTTTCAGGGCCTGGGATGGTCCTGTTTTGGGTAGGTTCGTTCCCGTCCTCCGAGGGTTTAGGGTCTAGGTTTCGCAGTTTGCGTTTAGGGTTTAGGGCATTTTGGAGGCGTGGGATGTAAGTAAGGATCTAAGGTCGCCGTTGTGTGTCTCCCAAGTCTTTGCCGACGTCGTCTAAGAACCAACAGAAGTTGCCAAAAACCTAGACCTTGGCGGCAGACCCTGAACCCTGAACCCTAAAAATCCTAAAAATACCTTCCTAACCCTGATGTCAAACTGCGGAAATTGAAACCCCTAACCCCAAACCTTAAAGCCTGCACCTGAACTTTAAACCCTGCACCCTCCACCCCACCTAAATCCTAAGTAAGCCCTACACCCAGAGCCCGAAGCCCTGATCCCTAACCCCCCCTCCTTCCTGCTCTTCCCCTCTAACAAACTCGCCCTGGCCTCGACCAGGTGGAGGGGAGCGCGACCTGAACCAACCAAGAAAGACACTTACAAATTTTGGTGTTAGATAAGGTTTTTAGCATTTCGACTGAAAGCTTCAGGATTGTTCTCTGCAAGGGCGTACAGGCTGTAGGATTACTGTGCGAGCTGCTAGCGTGTGCGATTTCGCGTGATTCTTGTTTTTGGGCGATCTATGGCGAGCTGATACTTGTTTCACAGACGCTCCACGCCCTTAAACCCTGTCCTAGATTCCCCAGCAAGAACGTTGCCTCAGAACCCTTAGCCATGAACCCTTATCACCCTAAGCCCTAAACCCCAAAACTGCTAAATGCCTTCCCTGGGCTCCGAGCCCGTACAGAACGCCTTTAAGGCAGAACCCTATTCTCGAACCCTGTAGTAGTACCCCTAAACCCCAAACTGCAAACCCACCCTTTAGGCTCCGGCCTGGAGCCTTATAGAACTTATAGAAGCCCCTCTATCGAAACTTGTTATCGAAACGATTATTGAACCCTATAGAACCCCACTATAGAACCCTTGAGGCTCTAACCCTGTAGCACCCTATTATCGAACCCTATTTTAGAAGCCTACTATCGAACCCCAGTATCGAACCCTATTGTAGAAGCCTACTATCGTTGAGGCTCTGGCCTGGAGCCTTTGTCCTTAAGCCCAGGCGGTCCCGCGCTGAGCTGGCCCAGGGGGCCCAGGCCCAGCCTGGAATTCCGATGATGCGGAGCAAAACGAATCAAACGATTACAAGAGAATTACAAATATATATATATATATATATATAGGTACATATATATATATGTACACATATATATATATATGTATATATACAGACGGGCAGGAAAAGAGAGAGACAAAGAGAGAGAGAGAGAGAGAGAGAGACGACTATGACGAGGAGGAAAGCAGACACAGTAGCGACAATGGCGAGAACAGAAACAGTGACAGTTACGATCACGGTAACAATAATAGTAACAGTAACGATAACAATAAAAATACCAATAACAACAACAATAACAAACAACCACACAATGACAAAAACGATAGCAGTGACGGTAACGCTAACACTAACAACAACAGTGATGACTGGCGGAGGTGATGCTGGATGATGCTTCCCTTGCTGATGCATGGCGGTGCTCTCAGGGGGATGCTGGCGCCACCGCTGCCGGCAGTGGCGAACAGATGGTGACTGCTCATCACTGACCATCACTGACATTGGCCTGGACCTTTATCAGCTCACAGTGAGGTCAAGACTTTGAGGCCATCATCAACCGACGGCGCTGGTCCATGGTGACTCCCATCGTCCTGCCAGGAGCGTGGATTCGTGGATCCTAATTTCAGGCTCAAAGGATCTTGCAAAAGGCACAATGCTCCTGAGCTTTTCCTCGGTTTCCGTCATCAGATACTGGGCAAAGGCGACCAAAGCCTTGTTAGAGCCACTCTCATGAACCTGCTCCACCTCATACTCACATGCACCAATGCATGCCCATACATGCATCGTGCATGCAGCATTTATCAAATGTACATCACATCACGCTCTTCTCTGAAGCGACGTGTGATAGCCATTTGCGCCAGCTCCATATCTCAAACCCGAAACCGCAAACCCTCAAAACCGAGCAAGCTGGGAAGTCCAGCTGAGGCCGGCACACCTTGGAAATAGTTCCACACTCGAGGGCCCAAAGTGGCGCTAAAGAAGCTAAAAGGTGCAGAGGAAGGCTAGAGTTCGTCAGCATCTTGCTGTGAATCGGTACTTTCATGATTACTATGATTGAGCATGTGTTGAACTGTCACCGGCAGAATACTTTGCAATCCGAAACCCCACGAAAGCACAGGACGATAGTAAATCGCGCATGCGGCATCTTTCGTGGGTGCCTGCGGTGCCCTTGGCGATTTGAGCCAGCCAAAGAACCAAGCAGAAGGAAAAGAGGTCATTGGGATGTTGTTCTTCTTTTCTTTTACTGAATCCCAAAGGCACACGAAAAGAGCACAAATGAAAGCGAAGAAAACACGCGCTCATTTCTCTCGCTTGTTTTTCTTCTTTTTCATTTGCTCTTTTCCCCACCCCACCACCCACATCACCTAATCACAAAGAGGGAACGAAGTGAGTGGCTAATTCAAACTAAAAGAAGGCAAATGAACAGAGAGAAATGCGCGCCTCTTTTGTTTAAATTAAACACACACAAGAGACCGAAACAAAGGGCTGTGGTAAAAAGCGCAAAGAAATGAAATCATGCTTCCGTTCCACTTCATTATATTTCATTCCTTTGGGCTTTTACCTACAGCATTAATGGGGTTATTTAATGAGTGTTTTTCGCTGTTATTCTGTTCCACCTTCGTTCACTCATGACATTACATTATTTTGTTTGTCTTTGTTTTAATTTGTGTTTTCGTCAATGCATTTCTCAGGTTATATTGTAAGAAGAGAGATTAGTGAGAGAAGCTCTTTGCTTTTATTTCATACTAATTTTGCGCCCAAAATGGTCGGTTGCGCCCAGAACTCCTGTCACTCTCCTGTCGCACTCATCTGCAACATCACAGAGACGTCGCAGCAACAAGGGCTCTGCAGGGTGCCTTTTAAGGTTTGAGGGTTTCCCACACACCCACTCCTCTCCTTTTAGGGTTTCAGGGCTTGCGACCCGCCCACTCCTTTACGGGTATGTGGGTTTGCCATCAACCACTCCTTTTAGGGTTTTGAGGGTTTCCCACCCAACCACTCCTTTTGGGGCTTGAAGGTTTCTCACTCAATCTCCCCACCTGTCCTTTTACGATTTGAGGGTTTCCCATCCAACCACTCCTTTTAGGGTTTGAGGGTTTCCCACCCACCCACTCCTTTTAGGGTTTGAGGGTTTCCCACACACCCACTCCTCTCCTTTTAGGGTTTCAGGGCTTGCGACCCGCCCACTCCTTTTAGGGTATGTGGGTTTGCCATCCAACCACTCCTTTTAGGGTTTGAGGGTTTCCCACCCAACCACTCCTTTTGGGGTTTGAAGGTTTCTCACTCAATCTCCCCACGTGTCCTTTTCGGTTTGAGGGTTTCCCATCCAACCACTCTTTTTAGGGTTTGAGGGTTTCCCACCCACCCACTCCTTTTAGGGTTTGAGGGTTTCCCACACACCCACTCCTCTCCTTTTGGGGCTTCAGGGCTTGCGACCCGCCCACTCCTTTACGGGCATGTGGGTTTGCCATCCAACCACTCCTTTTAGGGTTTAAGGGTTTCCCACCCAACCACTCCTTTTGGGGTTTGAAGGTTTCTCACTCAATCTCCCCACCTGTCCTTTTACGGTTTGAGGGTTTCCATCCAACCACTCCTTTTAGGGTTTGAGGGTTTGCCACCCACCCACTCCTTTTAGGGCCCCCAAACCAGCATCATTGTCATCATCATCATCATCATCCCCTAAACCCTAAACCCTGAACCCTAAACAACAAAATCCCCCTGAATACTTAGACTGTCGTCGTCAGCAGCAAAGACCGAGCACAAATGCAAATAGCGCGCATAAAGAATCCTCGAGACTGTCGTCCTTTTAAGACGCGAATTGCTCGTCCGCGTAACTGGGGCAACGATTGCCCTCCTCTGCGCACAGCCCGAATTGTACGCGCCTGCCAGCAAAACGTAGCCCTCCCGAAGTCCGCAGACCAAGTGCGCGGGCAAACGGAACATTTTGCGCGTAATTCTGCTCCCTTTTCATTTATCTTTCTTGTTTCTCTTCCACCAATTAGTAATCTACTACCTGAGCCCTTGGGATTTACACCGCCATCAATGAAGGGAAAGAGGAATGGTGGAAATAAACAAGTTCCGTTCATCTTCCAAAGGCTTTAATTATTATTAAACTCACGACTGACGGCCAACAACAGAGGAACGGAATGTGTCTCCAGGTGAAATAGAATGATAATGAACGTAACTGGCGACTCTAATGTCGGGTGATCATAGAAGCATTCCAATGAAACACACGGAATCATAATAGTTCATGAGTCTTCAAGATCGAAACATTAATCTCTTTCGCTTGTGCGGTTGGGATGGAAACTGAGTTGTAATCTTTAATGTTAGGAGTTGACCTAAAATTTCTGATGGATTTGTGTTTTATTGGGTTAATGTGGGTCCTTTGTCTTCCTCTCATTCTTGGTCGCTAAGCGGTGAGATTAATGATGTGGGTCTTTGAGAGAAAAGCATTCATTCCTCACACTATTTCATTACTTTGTTCCCACTTCTAAGATATAGTGTGTCCTTGGTTTGCTTCTGTAGCTTATGTTTTGCTTTATTCCAACCGCATCACCTACGATCGAGAGAGCCACGTAAGCGAACCAGTTAAAGACTAAGCAATTTCATCAGATTCCACTTCTTTCATTTAGTTCTTTCATTGGCTCAGGAAATCCTGTAATCTTGGCTACTGTATGTGGTTGTATTAGTGAGTTGGGATATCAGGATATACCAAAAAGCTCTCTTCATAAATTCATTTCATTAGGATGTAGGAAGGGTTCGGTAGAAAGAACCACGAACTCGTTTCCACAGATTATTAGTTGGTGGCTGTGGGCTAGTTTCAATGGCTGCTGGAATCTTCATCTCATGTAGTCCAAATAAAATATTGAGTTCCTTACGGCCTTTAGTGATAAACCATAGATGGTCAAAAGAATTTCCTAATAAAATAGCATTCCATTATAATTTAGATCACCAGAAGAAAGCACTATTAACATGAGGATAGAGGAAATTAGCAATAAAATCTCAAGCTAAAACACAAGAGATGAATGAGCAAACGACTCCCTTCATATTATTACACTTCTTTTTCTCGCTTGTTCTGTCTCTTGCTCTTCTGTTTTGTTTGAATTAAAGCAAAAACAAATGAAATAGAATGAAGTGCGTGTTTTGCTTTAATGAAACAAAATAAAGAGCGTGTTGTTCCAACTCGTGAACAGTTGGATTAGTTTTTGTGTTTCTCTAGCGTGGCATCTATAATTCCTGCGATGGTTGGATGCCTCCAGGCTATACTGGATTCATTCCAGGAAAACAAAGCGAAAATGTTTTTGGTGCTACGTATAAGAGATCAAACGAATTAAGCCTCGTATAATCTAATTTGTTTCTCAAGATGGCTTGCGAAAAGCGCGGCATTCCATATGTCAGTGAAGCGGGTAGGTGGAACCCCTGAGGTCTGCATTATAGATCAGGTCTTGATACTGTTGGATATACAGGAAATGGCGCAAATGGTACAGGAAAGGAACCAAGCTTTGGGGTATAGGCAAAGCACGACTACAGGCTCTGGCACGTGCCACAAAGCCACATGCGAATGAGCACTCGCATTTTGCCAGGCGCTTGAAGCTGTGCGCTTGAAATTCTTGAAATTGTGGAAGTGGTTGCAAACCCATCTTTCATGGGTGCCTGCGGTGCCTTGGCTGTTTGAGCTGGTACAACTCAAACTTCATTAGTGCACAAGTGTTACAGGAAAGGAACCAAGAGTATAGGCAAAACACGACTACAGGCTTTGGCACGTGCCACAGAGCCACATGCGAATGAGCACTCGCATGTTGCCAGACGCGTGAAGCAGTGCGCTTGACTTTCTTCAGATGGAGCTCAAGCAAACGGCTATGCTCCACTTTTCTTCAGGCACTTGCGCGGTCCTGACAGGAACTCGAATGGTTGCTGTGCGAAGCACTGACTCATCGCAGCTCCGGGCTGAGGCGACCACTGCTTACGTTCGCCAAGCAGCTGTTGACTGCCTTAGCGGATCTATTAGTGCAACTTTTCCTTTGATTTTTCCGATTGCTAAGCTTGGACTATCTATTACTGATACGATTACCATAAGCCTGACTCTTACTATTCCTTCTACTACTGCTTCTAACATTGGCATTGCGACTACAACGATCACCATTGCTAGTACAAGGGCTTTTCTTGCTATTAGAAGTGTTGCACGGTTATCAGGAAAATTACTGTTGCTGTCATCGATACTGTTATTGTCAATCCTTGTCTGTGTTACCTATAATGGTACTACTACCAGTATTACTACTACCCGCAATAGCAACAATAAGAAAAATTTGCCGGTAATGAAAATCATAAAAATCAAAGTACGCCTACTAACTCTCAATACTAAAAATCATGATACTGCCCCTAATATTTCTGAATCATTCATAATTGCTTCTGTTATTTCTACTGCTACTGCTACTACTACTACCACTTCTACCACTACTACCACGACTACTACCACTACTACTACCACCACTACTACTACTACTACTACTACTACTACTACTACTACTACTACTACTCTACTACTACTACTACTACTACTACTGCCACAACAACTACCAGTACTGCCACAACAACAACAACTACTACTACTACTACTACTACTACTACTGCCACAACAACTACCACTACTGCCACAACAACAACTACTATTACTACTACTACTACTACTACTACTACAACTACTACTACTACTACTACTACTACCTACTACTACTACTACTACTACTACTACTACTACTACTACTACTACTACTACTACTACTACTACGAGTACTACTACTGCTACGACTGCTACTGCTGCTACACTGCTACTGCTGCTACTATTGCTACTACTGCTACTACTGCTACTGCTTCTACTGCTACTACTGCTATTGCTATCGCTACCCTGTAGTGAATCACAAACCCGCTTAAGCCGATGCATCGTTGACATCCTGCAACCGACACCATTGAGGCGTTGGCCAACAGCCGTCGCCGGTCTTCCGCCTGCAAGCATGCATCACAAGAGATGCATTATGGTGCAGGGCTTCGGGCGCAGAGGATGTCCTCGCGCGCGTTCTTGCGCTTCTCGCGCTTCTCAGAGATGGGAGCCTGAGTGGTGGCTAGGAGTTCAAGCCGATTCCCGGATGCACCGGACATGACAAAAAACGCTGCACCATGCAAAGCCCGTGCGCACGCGGAGTTCTCAGGCTCGCGGCAGGGGCCTCGGGAGGATGCTTCGGCTCCAAAATTTTTGGATGTTTCCAAGAATAGGCGACCCTACTATACTACCCTAAATAATAGGATTATGACGAGCAGTGTCCAGCTAGAGTCACAAATCCATGAATATTTATTTCTAAATGAA